CCAAAGCAATTCTATTATACAAGTTCTATTTTTATTAGCAAACTGAAACAGTGTCTAGATATTATGTTGATTTTAATGTTAAAAATTGTATCATAATTTGTAGAAATGGATTTGTGAAACAATAGTTTTTAAATAGGTAGAAGTTCTATAAAGAATTACAAACTTTATTTTGCCCGGCTTATTTGTGAGGCCTGTATAAAATGACCTTTATGGTCACTATTTTTTTAAAGTAGTGAATCTTCATAAAATTAGTTTAGAGAGTGTGTGAAAAGTGATGCCCAGGCTACAAGTTTAAGTTTAATCTTGAAGTCTGAAGGGGGAGGGAAGGAAGGGAGGAAGGGAGGAAGGAAGGGAGGGAGGATGAAAGGAAGGAAGGATGGAAGGAAAAGTTTTCTTAGTGCCAGTATTTTTGTTCAACACATTTCTGTCTACCAAGAAACAAGCGTCTTATTCACACCATCTTTCTAATATACAGTCCATTTTATCTGGGATTTGATGGTTTTATCTCCGTTCACAGGCTCTACCTCCATCCCATATTCCCCTTCAGTGCCTATATTCTTCTTCTCTCTTGTGGTGTTGTACATGGTTGGATTTTCAAAGCTGTGACAACACAGGGAGTAGCAAAACATTCCTCAAGTGTTGAAAAAAAATTCTAAGTAGCAGCTATATATGTGGTTACTAGTTGCAAAAACTAAATATGATTTGTAGAAGGAGCATAGCAGCCTCTCAGTCTCTGCATCTTCATTGTTTCTGATATTTGAATATATCTTTTGTTTCAATAAATGCTACAAATAAATAAATAAATAAATAAATAAATAAATAAATGCTACAAACTTACTAATAGTTATTGACGTCTGCAAGTTTTCCTTCTGGAGAACTTTTACAGGTGCTTGTTCTTTGACTTTTGTTGTACCTTAATTTGGGTGTCTATTTGTGTTTATAGGAATGTGCATGGGGCTGGTGCCACAGAGACATGCAAAATTTATAAGAATACAAATTGGGTCACATAAAATTAAACTGTGACTCCTTCAGATAGAAGAAAAAAAATAACAAGTTTAGTTGTGTGTTTTTCAAAATTATAATATTATTATATAAGTTTAGAATTGACAATCTAATTTAAGACTTATCTGCTAAAATCCTAGGCTTTGGGGACTGAAACATTTTTGGAATACCTGTAAAACATAGTTTTTCAGACTAGCTCATTGCTATATAATTATTTACTCACTTTTTGGTTTAATTTCAGGTTCTTAATTGGAAGCCATTAGAAATTCAAACATAACAACATTCAAATTTAAAAACCGGGTATACCCAATTTGCCATTTAAGAAATTATTAAATTATAATATCAAATTCCTTCCTTGACATTATAAGAATTATTTTCAGAGGACTCTCTATTATCTCATTACCATTTTTAGCATGCAGATAACATAATCATCACTTATTTTATAAATGAATAAAATACAGGCATAGAGAGGACAGGAATTTATATTTAAAAAATAAAAAGAATGGTCAAAGAAATCAAAGAAACTGATTTACTATTTTCTTTCATCCAAATTTAATGCTCTAAAGTCCACAGTAATTTTCTTCTAGCCCCTACCTCAGACGTGCCTGATTTTAGCAAGATTCCACAAGATTTGAGAACCTAGCTGTATTTGGGGAAAGAGAGGGAGTTTGAGGGTTTGGGAAAAATTTGATAACTGAAAAATAAGATTGAGATATATATTTCCTTCCTTCCTAAAAAAAAAGCTCTCATGATACAGCACTAACTATAAGTGGAACATTTAGAAATTGAGTCATATGCAATATTGTGACAATATTGTGACAATCCTAAGTGACTGAAAGGGGCCCACTGGCCCTCTAGATGGTGTTTGCCTAACATTGCCTCCTTTAACTCAAGAGTTCAGCTGCACCTCAAAAACTAGGCCATCTGTCACTCCCTCCTTCACTCACCTTACAAAGTTACATAATCACCAACTTGACATTTTAATTAAACAGATAGCACCTGTGGCAGCTGGCAATTTATGAGGCTTATAAATTCGTGATTGTAAAGGACATTGCAATCTTCTGATGAAAGGTGCTCATGAATTGATGAGTTATATTATTGTTGTTTATCATCCAGCAGTCTCAGCTCACCTCATTCCTTCTTGTTGGCCATTCTACACTTTTTAAAACCAGGAATAGATGGCCAATTCAGATAGCGTTACCTACTTTAAAGACACTATAAATCACTGCTGATGAATGTCATGCAATTTTAGCTGCGGTATCTTCTCCATGGCAGCTTTATATTAGAGCATTAATAATATTAATTCCTCTTTCATAAGGGTTTAGATTTGCAATTTATGATAACTGTTTGTTCACTGCAGGCAGAAAGATTAAAAATGGGTAAACCAATATACCAACTAAACTGCATGTGTCTACTTTTATATTCTTTCAGGAAGGGAAAGTAAAACAGGGTTTGAAAAACAGCTTGATGTTTATCTGTAATGGTGTTCTCGTAGGTTCTACTACCGAAGGCTTAACTTTTGTTTTCAGTAAATAGTAACTGCTTGGATTTATGTGTTCTATAAACTAGTGCAATTATTTATATGTACTTAAGCAGAGCAATCAGAACAAGAAAAATTAATATTATTGATTTTCCTCAATAACTGCACACTAATTACGACACAGCTTTACAGTTATTTAAAGAATCACAGTAGCTTATCTGAATCTTATTTGAATCCTAGTAGTTAAAAATACTTGGTCATTTACTTGTGTGACTTGGGCAAGTTACTCAACCTCTCTGTGCCTCAGTTTCCTCATCTGCAAAATCAAAACAATTATATTACTCACTTCATTAGGTGATTTCAGTGCTTAAATGAGTTAACCCATGTAAAGCTCTTCTAAAGTGCCTAGCACATAGAAAGTTATAAAAAAATGTTAACAATAAAATTATAGTAGTAACAGTAACTGTCATTGCAATAGTGTTACAAAATGAAAACAAAACAGAAAAATACTGTCACTCAGGTAGAGTCCACAGCTTCATCTGACTATCAAAGATTAAGAAGTGCAGCATCTTGCCCAAGGACACAGGAGTAACTATTCCTCAGATTCACAGGATTCACAGATCTTGCAATTTTGACTTCACTTATGTGTGCATTAAGGCAGTTACAGATGGAGTAGGAGTTTGGGTTAGTTATATAACCTGGAAGATGTCCTATTTTTCTTTTCTTTTTTTAAACTAAAAGATCAAAAAGTATCTCTTTTTGTTGAGATTTAAAAGAAAAGAAAAAAAAAGCAGGCCAAGAAAATTTCCATGTGGGATTTGTGATAGAAGTAATAACAGAACAAAGGCTGTGAGCATCCCCAAATTTTCACCACAGCATCCCAGCACACTGCCCTTCACCACTACATTCTGGCATGGCGCCCGGAAGAAATATGAGAATGTGAGGGGAGAAAACCAGATTGGAGGGCCTACAGAGAGATTTCACACTGGAAGACGAGTCCTCTACAGATAAGAATCTTCTCAGGTAGCTTGTCTTCAGTTGAAAGTCATGGCCAATCCCCAATCATTCTGAAAAGAGAGAGACAGAGACAGAGATGGAGACAGAGATAGAGACAGAGAGATCGTGGGGATGTTAGTTGCCTGTTGTGTTAGCAAATTTTTAATTACCTTCTGTTATTAATAATGTCTAGTAGTAATCAGGATAATGGCATAAAGAGTTCTTATAGTTTAAACTAAAAAATTATCTAATGTAAACTAAGATGGTAAGGTAATTTTCAATTACTTTTAAACTTAATTTCACCTTGAAGCTGTTCTGTTTAGTCTTAATAGCACTATGAAAGGAAAGCACGGTAAACCCCAACCAGATAGATCTCTTTTATCAAATATTTCAATTGTGTGAATTTATTATTCCCCCTGTGCCCTCCCTTGGGGAGATTATATAAGCAAAATAAAACCATTTCTCACACTTCAGATTAAAAAACAAGAGAAGGGGGAGACTTCCAGGTTTTTCTATTAACTGAGTCTCTGACTGTGTAACCATCACTGACTGGAGTTTAGAATCACCAAACACCAGTCACTGAAGAAAGATTCACCCACGTTCATTCCCTATTTTTCTCATTTCATTTTGGTATAAAATTGCGCGAGCTGCCGACGGCCGGCTGGATGACAATGGACTTGGAGCTGAGCTAGCTGCACCCTCTACAACTAAGATTGAAGGACAACAACTTGGCTGTTCCCCTTCCCCAATTCCCCAGTAAAATCTTTTTAAAAAAAATTGATGAACCAAATGAACCAAAAAAGTCAGTTTCATTTGCCATTTATCCCTGATATATTATTTTATCTTCCTCCAATTCTGTCTCCCTGATTGTTGGCCAAAACCCCAATTATAGATGGCGGGATTTACCTGCTTTAAGAAAATAAATCTTGCACAATTTAATATTGTTCTTCTAATGTTCGTTAATTTGTTTCTATGGCAAGATACTCTTTCATAATTCCAAGAAACAATAGCTAAACTATTAAAGAATTGCTCAAATGAAAGAAGATATGAGAGGCATACACTTTTCTGACTTTTTCACGTAAGACCAAATTCTTTATTTTTTATTTAATGGCAGATGGAGGAATAATTTTCTCCATGATAATAGGCATACATTTTTTGTTTTAATGTCATGGTAATGCTATTTTTAGAATATGATGTAATGGCGATGCTCTTTTACTGCACCAGCTCAGCTAATAAATGAAAAATGAAAGACATTTCTGTATTATAGAAATGTTCATGAAGGCAACCTCAATATACAAAAGATGTGTAGTTTTTTTGTAAACAAAATTGCTACAGGGGCAGAATAACTATGGCATAAAATATAGAATGCTGCCTCTTAAGATTCATGGAGCCTGAAAAATGATCAAGAGTAATGAGAGGCAAGAAATAGAAATATGATTTCCAGTGTTACTTAACATGAAAGGGTATATTTAGATATTATTTTTAAATTGGCTTACAAATATACGGCACCAATTGCACTGCTGGGGAGAAAGGGAAAAGTGTAAGAATAACAATGAATATTAAACCAGAGAATTAGCATAGGAGAGCAGGAAAGACATATCTCAGCGGGATAAAAGTGGGACTTCAGAGGGAAGTGGATTGTTGTTAAGTGAAATGGTTGAGCAGTATTTCAAAGTGAGTAAAAATGATTGAAAAACCTGATTTTTAAAATTTCTTTTCCACCAATTTAAGGAACTATAAGAGGTTTTGGGGGAAACCTCAGGGAAATCCGAAGGCCCAGATCAATGGGAAAAACAAAAGGGTGTTTACAGAGGTCAGTTTATGCCACATCTGCAGTGGTAGTTCCACTAGGAATGATATTCCAATATGAGGGCTCACCTCCTCGTTCATGTCTTATAAAGGAGTGTGTGTATGTGTGTGTACCAATAGATTTACTTTTCTAAGAAATGCAGTCAGTGTAGACAGACACCCTTAACTTTGGGGACAATTTATCTTAAGTGACTGTTAGCCATAAAAATGTGCTTAGGACTATGATAAGATGTAAAAGTCGTCCTAAGATCTAGGTAAATTCCTAGGGTATCATTTATTTCTGCTCTAAATGGGAAAGCCGGCACTTAAAATTTATTGTTATTGTTGTTTTATACAAAGGTGTTTATATTTAAAGACTTTAAAAGAGATATACAACACTTTAAGCATTTTCTTTCCCTCAGCTCCTCAGATCTAAACACAAACAGCCAGAAGATTTATCCATCTAACTCATCGTTCGGCTCAGATCTGAGTGAGACACACACATGGTCGGCTCTGTCGAGAGCATTTCATCCACGGTCAGATTCTGGAATATCATCCCAGGTGAATACTTTGAATTAGCCCTTTACCTAATGATAAATTTATATGACATACTTTATCATATATTGAACATGTTTTCATAAGTGTATACGCTTCTTAAACCTACCCTTGCAATTGGGGGAAAAATGAAAGGTTGACACTCTCAGTCCCAACTCAGAGGAGAAATGGACAGAAGCTAGGGTAGAGGAAGATAAAGAGGTGAGTGGAAAAGGTAATGACCACAAAAACAAAATGACCTCCCTTTCTTTCTCCCACTGAGTTCAAATTCTGTCTCTAGTCTAAGATATATGTTTTTTTTCTTCCTGGAATGTCCTTTGTTAACAACGTAAGATTTTCTCCTTCCAAACTCACCATTTCCAAGGCTTTTTCTCTAACCCATCTAAGTGGAATCATATGGGCTTTTTCCTTCTTTCTTTTATCTATAATTTTTCCACTTATCCCACTGGATCAAGATGAGTTATATATATATGTCTGACTCCCAAATTATAGAAAATGAGTTTTTCAAGCACAAATGCCACATTTTATTTAACTCTGTATCCCTAGTGCCTGACAAAGTGCCTGAAAAGTACAATATATATTTTTGAATAAATGAATCAAATGAAGCATACTCATTCAAAAATATTTATTATACCAATGGATCAGTCAATTGGCTTATCAGAATTAAAAAAGGAAAAAGAACAGTGTAAGGCACAAATATTCACTATTCCTTTAAGAAACAACAGTCATACAAGTGTTACACATTGACAACCTTACATGGATGTAAACAAAGAAAAGCAGTGGCATATGTTCCTAAAATGTCAGAAATCCAAAAATCATACACATAATTCCTTTAAAAAACAAATAAAGAGGTTTTTGCACAAAATTAGATGTCAGTTGAGAAGTGGAAACATTCTTCTCAAATATAGCTTTAGCCTAGATTCTTTTTATTCCTAGCAAGAGCCTCAAGAAAAAGCACAAAAAGGCAATGGAGTGTGGCAACTCCTGGGAATTTAACTTCTAAAAGTTCCTTATTCTGTGATAGAAGCAAGAAAAAAAATTCCAAAAGCACATAAGAGCTTGGGAAAGAAGCTTCCGTAAACATGTAAACTGAGCAACCAAGAATAAGCCAGGAACTACATTCCTCAATACTCTAAAATGTATTCGTGCTTTTTCATTTTTTAAAGACTCGTTTAAAGAATGAGTAAATTCCTTGAAAGCATGTTAGCAAATCATCAGGATATCTCAAAGTGTTGCTCAAGCATTAACATTTTAGTATTACTGGTAATAAGGTAGAGAGCTATTATTACTAGTTCTATTTTTTTTTAAGTGAAGATATTCAGATATTTACTGGGACAACCATGGTCATTCAGTGAATAAGCAATTAAAATGAAAGATCAAAGCTAAATGATCATTTAAAAGCCACCTCTTGCCAATTTATTTTAAGGCAGCTTTGTCCCAATTCTGCTTCACACGCTGTACAGTCCCACATGCTGCTCCAAGAATAAAAGGTTCTATATTTTAAAAGTTCAGGGGAACCCTTTGTAGTAGGGACTCACAATATATATTAGAACATTAAAGGCTCTGAGAAGTCTGATAATAAAGAGTGATGCATAACCTGGTTTAATCCAGGGCCTCATAAGCTTATTTAATAGTGGAAATGTTTTTTATGTTGTTAGTCACTCAGATTTACAGCTCAAGCAAAGCATAAGCTCTGTGAAATGCTCTGTGAGATGGATGAGGTTGTTCCAAATACTTTAATGACGTTTCTTTAAATCAAATATTCCAGGTTGGTTTGTCTATGTGTATGACACTGGATAACAGAAGAATGAATCCATGGTGTATGTACTTCATATAATATTATTTTCCTAGTAATATGCCTTTTTGCTTGTGTTAGCCTTGACGCTATCATAAGCTATATAAGATAATAAGAATTTTGATTGACTGCAATCTCAGTGATAGTAAACAACATAAACTTGCCCAAAATGTGACCTTGGCACATATTTTTGTCAGTAATACATATACTATCTGGAACAAAGAAGATGACCAGACCTGAAATATTTGATTCAGTACTGGCTACACATTTAAGAGCAATATCAATAAATTTCAACTCTTCTCAAGGAGAACCACATGTTCTTCCTGGATATGTAATAATTTACAAACCGTGATCTGTGAGTAATAATTGAATGACTTAGGAAAAAGATAGCTGTTATTAAACACTTAAAATAGTAGTCACACATGGAGGGATTCTTTGAGGCCCATAGAATGAGGAGCCCTAACAATTAGAACTCTTCTAAAATAGGATAAGATTCCTCATGAGCTAGTCAGTAAATATTGAAGGATGATGTATCAGAGGTGGTGTAAAGTGGATTCATGAATGGGTACATATATTTATATCTGCTATCATTTACCATCAAACATAAGTCATTTGCAGGCAACAGAGATGCAAAGTTGAAAAAGAATACATAATTTAGATTGCACTAAAATGATTTCTATGAGCACACTATTAGATACTTGGATAACTTGCCTGAATATTTGGCACAGATTTGCATCACTTTTACACATAAAATTAAATGAAATATATTCTGCCAGGTGATATTTCTCTTCTTCCTTATTTTAAAGCTTCCATCAGATCGTTTTAAGTACCTCACTTGGCAAACGGTAGAACAACATGACATTCAAGGAAGTCAACTGCATTGTCCAAGAGTAAGAGAAGGTAAAAGAACAAATGTATGTATTCTCTGTGTACGAGCTCTGAGTAGATTTTTTTTTCAGATTAAAAGACATTACTTGAAATAAAAAAGATATTACTTGGAGGTAGAAAATTTTCCTTTTTCAAGATCATGGTATTGTTAATATAGTGAAGCCACCTTTAAAAACGTATTGTGATACCTGATTATAAAAATAATAAATGTTCAATACTAAATATTGGAAAATATATTAAGAAGAACATGTAATGCAACCATCTAGAAATAGTCATTGTGACTTTTATTTCCATTTAGTCTTTCTTTGAAAAGCATATACGTACATCCTTTTTTACAAAATTATATAAACTATTTTGTTTCTTGAATTTTTCCACTTATCTTGATATTGTGAGCATTTCTTCCATGTTATTAAAAATTACCCAAAACATGTTTATTAAAGGTTGCATACATTTCCATCATATGGATATTAAACTGATTTAACCAGGATCTTTTTGAAAATTTAGTTTATTTACTATATTTCATGAGTATGGATAACACTGACACTTCAATGGATGACTTTAACCTGGTTTAATTCTACACTGTTTCTTTGAAAAAGCATCAAAAGAGAATAAATAAACCAGGTCGTCTCATTTTATGTTTTCACTAAACATTTTAAATTTGGTAGAATAACCAATGTTTTACTATTCCTTTTTCATCCTATCAGATTTTATATGAAAATTTCTGTGACAGTATGAAGAATTATAATCTGCAGCCCCTGATATACATAACTTGATTAACATAGGAAGATTACAGTTTGGTTTCTATAAGTAGCTTTCAACAGATTATAAATTATGTAAGAACAGGGACCATGTATTTCCCAAGTCTCTTTTGCATCCTCCATAAGCTGATGAAATAATATTAGACATTATTCCTATACAGTGATTATTCAGTCTTTATAAAACATCAAATACCTTGGTTATCTTCCATCTGTATTTGCAGGTTGGCAGTTACATTGCACAATCACAATATCGATTTAGAAAAAGTTGCTTTAGATACATTCATCTTCCCATTTCCTCCTCTCACCTGCATCGCTTTACTTACACAATGCCTTTCTTCTTTCACTCAAACTTATTAATAGTCGACAAAAGAAGGAGGCTAAATAGCATGATTTTCTGAAACTGAGTAAAAAACATTCTTATATTTAACTCTGTCAGTTCTATTTGCAGCTAAGCACTGACTCCTATTTTTTAAAATAATAGTACATAGTCCAACTAGAAGTAAATTAGATTTGTGCTTTGGGGGCCTTAGAATATTTTTCAAGGAGCAAGAAATTATGAGGAATTAGGAAGAAATGAGACCAGAGGAAGTGGACGCAGTGTGTCACATATGTAAGAAATTCATCGGCAAAAGGAAAAGAGGGCTACATCCAGGGCTAAAGTGGGCTAAGTTCAGTTGGCTCTTAAACAATAGAATGTGGATAAATTACCTGAAGGGGTGTAAAATTCAGGTTCCCAGGCCCTAATCACCCCCAAATCTGATGTAGTTAATATGGAGTGGGGCCTCATTATATGCCTTTGTAAGAATTATCACAGGAAATTCTGTTGCAGATTATCTGAGGGCCATACAATGAGACACACTGGATTAGGAGGTATGGGGCAAGGCAGGGAAGGAAGAAATTTGAATAGAAAGTAAAAAGATTGATTGCTAAAGTAAGGGTGCTGGCGTTTATGTGTGTGTGTGGGAGGTAGTTGATGATTGCAGCAGCCACAATGAGGAAAAAAGAAATTGTATGCTGAGCACAGGTGGAGAGTGAAGTTTAGAAAGAACTACAGAACTGAAGAAATTGGAAGGGATGACCGGATGATAAAATGTAGGAGAAGTAAACTGAAAATGTGTAAAGAGAGTCCAGTGGCCTCCCCGCTTCCCTGATTTAAGCAGCCAGGTCATGTGCTGAGGTCATCCCTCAGCAAAACCAATCCCATCTAATGACCACGGTGGCCATTCATGCAAAGGACATCATCTCTGTGCAGAGATAAGGCACATTTTCCTGCCATAGATCATGAACAACACACAATCTCTTGCCTAGTGTGAATGGAGTATGATCTAGGGGATAGAAAATATTGGAGAAGCCCATCCCCTCAAACCATGAAGAAAATAGATATCTCTTGTTTGTTGCTGTTAACTGTGTTTAAGTTATTTTGTGTGTGTGAGATGGAGAACAAATGATTTTCAAAGCATCCTGATAAGGATTACCCTCCTTCTACCCTCCTGAAACACCCATCAAAACTATTTCAGTGGGTCTCGACTGCCCCATTGTACATCCAGGAAGAGTTCCTAAGAAAAGGAAGGTTATCTGGTGTGTGATAAACAGCAATTTCCCGACTTTGATCCCCAGATCAAGACTGACAACTCCTCCCAATTAAATGAAGCAAAAGAGCGAATTTTTGGTGGAGTTCCTTTAGAGAATAAATGCTTTCTATTTGAAAATCCCTCAGCCAATTAATTCAGTCACTGTTGTTCTGAGTTATAGATCCACTGAGGGGACCAAGAACAATCTCAGAGATAGCAGGGGAAGGCCAACATCCCTGGGCTGTCAGATACTCCAAACTGTAGTTCTCAGCTGCTAAGATATATCCTCGGTTACTAACAAAGTCTCAGAAAAAAAGAAAAGAAACAATCCAATTTAACACATTTCTTTACAGTAGATGTGACTTTTGGCCTCCAACTTCAAAGAAATCTTGGAAAGCTGCTTTAAAAAAATAATTGAAAGAGCAGATCAATAGAAGTCAAACGAACAGTATAGGACAGAGTTTAATAAACTCTGGGGTATCTATTGCACAAGGAAAGTTATCAAATTGGGGATGGGTATTAAAGACCATTGAGCCCAAGTTCTCCCCAGTCAATTAGGTGATTGTTCCAGTTTTTCCAGTTCTATGACTTTTAACTCCAATCATCCTGATCAATGAAGAAGAGAGTTTCCTAACACAAGAACATTTTATTTGTAAATCGGTTGGGATACTGCCGCCTTCAGAGTTAGGTTATTTCCTGAGTGTCAATAGTTTATTATGAGAGAAATGCCTGAAAGAGAAGTTTATACCTTGGTTTCCACCTGCATGCAGTGAAAGAACTGATGTTTGTGCCAAAAATAATGAAATATGGGAGTCTTTCTCCTATTGCCTTCCAGAAATCCTTCACAAATGGACTCCCTGTCTCCCACCAGAGCCCAGACAAACCTGCCACAAAAACAAAGTTTGTTCCTGATGCCTTCAGTATCCTCTTTCTGTGTTCTTGTCACCCTTGAAATGAGAGGAATCACCAATTTTTGAAAAATAGAGTGCTGGAAGTGTGTGAAAATGGTACCAGATATGACTCATGGTTAATACAATGTTAGAGTTGGGAGGGAATTGAAATCATTTAATTGAGGATTGCTGTTGACATCATAGCAGAGTGCAGTTTGTCTGGGATAGCACAGTAGAGTGTAGGGGTTATGGCAATAAGAAAGCATACGTTGGTCTACGATAGTATTTTGGTTTTAAAAAAAGTACTAGATATCAGTATTTTTATACAGCATTATGAACTTCAAACAAGCATATTTTCTCACCCAATTCAGCTCGCGTTGGGCCCTTGATTCCAGTTTTTCCTGTATTTTTGCAGGCATGGAAAACTGAAGCTCAGAAAATTAAAATTAGTCATCTGGAGTTGCACAATTACCTAGCAACCAACTCCAGACTGGAAATAGGATATCCTTTCCCTAACCCTGGAAGTTGTGTGCAAACCTGATTTGGAGAACAATAAGGTTAGAAAGAGTGGGAAATGAGTTTGGATATGAGGGTTAGGATAAGATTGTGGGAAACCTTGCTTGACAAGCCAGTATGGTCCACCTTTATTTGGTATGCAGTAAGGAATTTCCGAAATGTTTTGAACATGTAAATCCTATGGTAAAAGCTGTGTTTTAGTAAGGCTGGATGGCAAGTTGCATCATTTATTTTGAGGGAGAGAAGATTGCAAACAAAAAGATCCAAGAGAAAGCAGTTACAGTTCAGGTAGGAAAACAATGAGGGTCTGGACATTGAAAAGGAAGGGACAGATTCTCAAGGGAAAAACTGATAGGACCAGGTGGCTAATTAAATTGAGAGACACAAGGGAGGGAATGTCAGCAGTGACTTCACATCCTCAAACAGAAAATTATATGAAGATTAAAGCCACTACATTGGTGATTTTTCTCACTTGCCTGTGCTAGAAATAATTTAGGTAGGGTTAAAAGTTAACTCTTTGTTACTGCTCACACTGTTTGCTGACAAATCATGTCTCCTCAATCCTGATATCGAATAGAAGTTTAAAACAATGAGTCAAATACCAAATGAAGCTGTCTGTCCTTTTGCCCTAAACCTACTTCCAAGATCTCACTGTGTGACTTTGGCCCAGGACCCTCTGCAGAAGAGTTGCTCTTCAGACAGGAGGAAGGTGCTCTGCCTCCACAGAAAAAAGTCCTTGAAAAAAACAAATGGGAAACATGGCTACAAGAAAACTGGGAAGACTGCAAGGTGAGAGCTTAAAAAACAGAAAAAAGTCTATTTCCATCATTGATTAAATTATGACACTTTTTAAAGGTCAATTACAAGGATAAATATCAAAACTTTAAGCATCTCTTCAGAGATTTCTTTAAAACTGGTGGTATTTGGGCTTCTCCATCTCTTTTTGCAAATCCCTTCTTCATCGTGACGTGTTACTTATTTTCCAACCTTTATTTTATTCAGATATTGCTGAACTTTGGAAAAGTGTGAAATAGTTGAGAATAAAATTGTTCTTTTTTTTTAAGTCAATTTTTGGATAATAATCTTTATCCATGAATTTATGGTGCAGTCTAGAGTTCTTTGAACAATGCATTAAGCCTGAAGTTCTGATCAGCCAAGGCAGCCAGCCTGGTCTTAACAGAGCTATGCTGGAACAAATCAAACTTTTCACCAATGAAGGCGATGAGCTGTGATTTCTTGGTGCTGAAATGACCCAGGTGACTGAGCCACTAGCATTGAAATAAACCTGCAATTAGTCAGCCTGCTCACTACAAAGCTGTGGTGCTACAATTACTCTAACTTCTAACTCCTGTTGGATCAAGTTGTATTTAGGCAGAGAACTGAAGATGACCCAGGAAGAATAAGCTTGGTAGCTTAAAGAGTCAATCAACTTCTTCCAAAAAAAGTGGTGTGCCGATATATTTGTTTTTTGAAGTGATCAGATTGTTCATACAGATTTTGGAAATGAGCCTGAGTTTAAAACCTGCTTGTTGGGGTTTCTTGATGCCTCTTTTTCTTCATAGGTTGATCTTGAATGTCAGAGAATTATAGAATTAGGGGGCAGGAATGAGTTTCAGAGAGGTTTTGGTCTAAACTCCTTCCTTTCCAAAGAGGAAAGGGAAGTTCAGAAAGAGAAATGATTTGCCTGAGGTCACACAACTTGTTAGTGAAAGATATGAAAATAGAATATTGTTTGTTTCCCTGCACAGTGCTTTATTTTTTTAAAATTAATTTAAAATTATCCTTACGTAATGCATGCATGCATTCTACTCTTAAGAAATTAAGGAATGCACCTATTTATTTAAAACTTTGACCTCTACTCCCAGGATTCTCTTTAGAGGTAATCATTTCAGGGTGTGTGTATATATATATATATATATATATATATATATATATATATATATTCACTCTTCATAGCTGCCATTGAAACCATGGATTTATTGTAAAGGCCAATGGAGGTTTGCTAATAAATTATCACAGAAAATTTAATTGGCCTTGAGATAACTATACTTTAAGAAGATGGCTAAATAAACTCTTAAACTATCACAGAAAACTTAGTGGAAAATCATGGTAAAAAATAGCCTCTCTGAGGAGGTGACATTTAATATAGAAATGATAGATATAATTTTGTATCATTTCTTACATTTTTATTTCAAAATTAAATCATTTTATACTTTTGGAACATGGAACTTAAAGTATCAAATTTTATGATGTTTAATGTCTAAAAATACCAAGACCTTAGTGATCTTTTTAAAGACAGAGATTTCTGTATTTCTTTAAAGATAATAAATATTTTGCTTCAAATTTTTAAAAAAAGGATGGTCATTTTGTTTAATAATTTTTTTATTGACAGAAATTGATGGTAAAATTGTGGAAATAAAAGGTTAAGTTGACTTTCGGGAACAGACTTTTCAAGAGCAATGTTACTACTGAGAGTGGTTTTAATTTCCTTTACATCAAAGTTGTCTGATGTTAAAAGTAAAAGTAAAATATCCAGTATCTTTGAAATATGCCAAGTGATTTTTAAATATGTGTCCCTAGATGCTTTGAAACAAAACCATAGTTTTCATCTTTTGAATGATGATATTTTACTCTGAAATTTTTATAAATGTGCTCTTTGAGTATCTCCAAGGAGTCTAAAGATAACTAACCATTTAAATCAGTGATTTCCAAACAAAGCTTTATCCCTACCACTCTCCACCCCTCAAGAATTTCAGAATCTGTTTGAGGACCCTGCCTTTTCTCTGACCCCTAACCTTGAATGTAATTTTAATCAGGATTCAGTAAGGATCTTCACCCTCACTATCTTGGGAATCCCTGCAACAAAATTGTGAGTGTTTGGAAGTGTGAGTCTCTTAAAGGACAAAAAAAAATACAAAAAAGGCAGGGTGGGGGGATCGGTGAAAATCACTGATTTAAATAACATATACAATACTATTTTGAAAAGTTGACAACTTGCTTTTTCTTTGTGTTTTCCCCTTCAGAATCTGAACCTTTCCTTTCAGGATCTGGGGGACCCTTATCAAGTTGCAAATTTTAACAGGATTCTTAGAAGACTAATTCGAGTTGAAACCCTCTGGTTAGTGGATAATTCACTGGTGGATTTAAGTGCCATAAGATTGCCAAGGTACCTGCTCTCTAGCATGTCCACTTACTAAGTTAAAATCCTCTCTTTGCTATTTGGGGATATGTGACCACTGTATGTACCTATTATGGCTGACCTCATACGGTTAGGTCTTAGAGGTGGGAGTGCTAAATGATGCCTGGGCAAGGCAAGAAGGGAAATTTACATATCAAACTGTCACACGAGAGGGAAAAATATCTATTGTTTTCCAAAATAATATTATTATTATCAATTTGTAGGGGAGTAATTTGTAATAATAGGATCATATTTGCAGAAAACCTTGCCATGTTCCTTGCATTGTAAACTAGAAATGCAATATTATAATTAATATAATATAATATAATATAATATAATAATAATATTGACAAAAGTCTTGGCTTCAAGGTCACATTCTAATGGAGGGGTGTGGTTGCCAATCAGAACAGAGACATAAACAAACAAAATATACAAATTACATAGACTCCTTGGTCTTCCAAGGATCCCAAGCTCCTGATGTTAAACATAATCTACCTCATTGTTCAGGATTGCTTGAGAGCCTTTTGTGTAAAGAGCTGCTATCTGCTTCACCAGGCAGAAGGGGTTGGTGGAGTGAACCTTGCTAGAAGACAAAGGGGCACACAGAGTTTCACAGGAGAGAATTACGAGGTGAAGGAAATCAAGCAGCCACAGAAGGAAGAGTAAATCCTTGGACAGGTTAAGATACATCTCTGAGCCTGGGCTGACACAGAGGAAGTTTCAGAATATGCAATGTGTCTGGGTATCTTTGGTCATTTTCAAAGCCCCTTCAAAATTTTAGACAGACTTACATAGCATTTTATTTTACTTATGATATTTTTAAATAACACATTTAAAAATACCCCAATAAAAATTTTCAAGAGAAATCTAAAACTGCTGTCATAATTTTTAAATTATAGCATTTTTTGATGTTGATTTATTCAGTCTTTATTCCCAAGTTTTCTTCTAAGGATACGATAGTATGCATTAGTTATATTTTTAATACACATTTAAATAAACATACACAGAAAAAAATTCAACATAGCATGCTTTAGAAGCACTGAGCTAGAAGATAATTTACTTGAAGTATCTGATCCATATCAATAAACTCCCAAATCTTATCTATCTTATACAAAGAGAGAGCGGGAGAGAAACACAATCATTTAAGACTTGACCTAGTTTCAGTGTTCTCTAGATATATTCTTTTGACCTTCCTTTCTTTAGAAATAAGAAATATAAAATTACATAATTGCAATTCAAACTTTATAACTGCTAAATCAATTTATCAAGGGAGAAAAAGAAATTGATGCATGTATCATCATAGCCTCCTTGCCTTCTGTGCCAGGGGAAAACCACACTCGGTTTGCCATGCTTCTCCCTTTATATTATGTTACTGATTTGGGATCTGTGATGGGGTGAATCTGAGGGGCTGAGAGGGTGCCAGGATATACAGTGAAACTGAGAGAATGACTGGTAGATGAGAGAAGAACAGATTTCAGAGAAGAATGAGAGGATGGCAGTTAAACAAGAACTATTTGGGCTGAGTTTTCAATTAGAAATCATCCTAGCACGAAAGTGCTGTTGAAGATTATGTAACCTGGAAAAAAGTAAAAACCAAAAGTTATCAAAGGTATGATAGGGACTGTGTAAAATATCCATATGGAGAGGGAATGGAAGAAACAAGGAAAATGAAAATAATAGATGTGAAACAGTTATAATAAAAACTGGGTGGGTTCAAACAGAATTTGTTTGTCTAATGCCATTGTGTGTGCCCATCCCCTCTCTGTTTAGCACCATCTTTTATTAGCAATAATTATTTATCAATTGTCTTTGTGGGGTACAAGGCTCATAAAAAGTAACTTGTGTTCCTCTCTGGATATATTAAATTTCAATTTATACATAAAGGATTTTTTTCTTAAGGCAAGTTGTCAGTGATAGATTTTGAATTATTTTCTCTATTTACACAGTCTTAAACAATTATCTGTCAGAAGCATTATCTGTCAGGAAAATGTATACAACCTAAACGCCTAACACACGTTTCTTTTCCTAATTAGGAATATCTTTTAGTTTTCTTTTATACAAAAAGGCTTTTTTTCTGCTCCAAAATGCTTTTATCTCAATATAGAATTTTAGTACAAAAAGTAGAAAGAATGAAAACTAACTATAATATCACTACTTAAAGGCAATCCTCATCACAATTTACTATGCATCTTTGTGTGAACTTTTTATAGCTGAGATTATATGCAGCCATTTACTCTTTCATTAACGACATATTGAGGACCCAACGTGGGCCAAATACTGTGTCAAGTACTGAGTGTGTACGTAAGAAGAGAAAACAGATTCCTACCCTCAGCAAGCTTACAGTCTTATATATTCTGTTTATTTCCTCTTAATATTTTAATATACATATTTATCTTTTTTTATAAACCACATTTGAAGAAGTCATCACTGACACTCCTTTGAGGAGTTATGGTCTAGGTGAGGCATACTAGTCCTATGCAAGATTTGGTAGTTAACCACCCTCTTTAGGAGACAAATGACAAGCTGTTATATTTTGTATCCAGCTGCAGAGTTTTAAATATGAACAAAAACCATCTTACATCTTTCAAACAATTGCCAAAGATACCTCAGATACAGCATTTATCCTTGGCTGAAAACCACATTGAGACTCTGACTGGGCTCTCCAGTTTACGGTGCACTCCACTAGAATCCCTTATGCTCAAGAGGAACCCTTGTGAATTTCACCAAAGTTACCGGAAACGGTAAGGCATAAGTGCCTTGTCAGCTTTTGTACTTCATTGAATATTATACTTTTAACAGTTGTTCTCTTAAATGCACTCAGCAATTTTTTATCATATCTACTGTTATACATGTTGAGTGTTTCATGCTTCTAATCTCACCTAAAGAACTTTGAACTGATTTTTTTTGTCTTTTTATTTTTTTAAATTTTGATATTAATAGCAATTTATTTATTTACTTATTTTTATTAAATTTATTGGGGTGACATTGGTTAGTAAAATTATATAGGTTTCAAGTGTACAATTCTATAATACATCATGTATATATTGCATTGTGTGCTCACCTCCCAAAGTTAAATTTTCTTCTATCACCATGTGTTTGAGCCCCTTTACCCTCTTCTACCTCCCCTGACTCCTTACCCTCACTAAACTATTATCTGTGTCTATGAGTTTTTGTTTGTTTGTTTATTTGTTTTTTTCATTCATTTGTTGGTTTCAGTTTTATGTCCTACATATGAGTGAAATCATATGGTTCTCAACTTTTCTGTCTGATTTATTTCACTTAGTATGATAATCTCAAGATTTATTCATGTTGTTGCAAATGACAGTATTTCATCTTTTCTTATGGCTGAGTAATATCCCATTGTGTATATGTACCACACCTTCTTTATTCAATCATCTATCGAACACTTTGGTTGTTTCCATGTCTTGGCCACTGTGAACAATGCTGCAATGAACATAGTGGTACATGCATCTTTATGGATAAATGTTTTCCGATTTTTGGTGTGGATACACAGAAGAAGGTTTGCTGAGTCACATAGTAATTCTATTCTTAATTTTTTGAGGAACCTCCCTATTGTTTTCCAAGTGGCGGTACCAGTTCACGTTCCCACCAGCAGTGTATGAAGGCTCCTTTTTCTCCACAGCCTCTCTAACACCTGTTATTACTTCTCTTGTTGATGAAAACCTTTCTAACAGGTGTGAGGTGGTAGCTCATTGTGGTTTTGATTTGTATTTTCCTAATAGCTAGTAAAGTTGAGCATTTTTTCATATATCTGTTGGCCATTTGTATGTCTTCTTGGAAGAAGTATCGTCAGGTCCTCTGCCCATTTTTTAATTGGATTGTTTATTTTGTTGTTGAGTTGTATGAGTTCTTTACATATTTTGGATATTAGCCCCTTATCAGAGGCATTGTTTGCAAATATCTTCTCCCATTCAGTTGTTTGCCTCTTTATTTTGTTGATAGTTTCTTTTGCTGTACAGAAGCTTTTTAGTTTGATATAGTCCCATTCATTTATTTTAGCTTTTACTTCCCTTGCCTTTTAGGTCAAACTCATAAAATCCTCTTTGAATCCAAGGTCCGTGAGTTTAGTACCTATGCTTTCTTCTATGTAGTTTATTGTTTCAGGTCTTATGTTTAGGTCTTTGATCCATTTTGAGTTAATTTTGGTATATGGTAACAGATAACAGTCTAGTTTTATTCTTTTGCATGTGGCTTTCCAATTTTCCTAGCACCATTTATTAAAGAAGCTTTCTTTTCTCCATTGTATGTTTTTGGCTCCTTTGTTGAAAATTATCAATTATCTGCCCATATTTATGTAGGTTTATTTCTGGAATCTCAATTCTATTCTATTGGTCTATGTGTCTGCTTTTCTGCCAATACGATGGGTTTTTTGTTTGTTTGTTTATTTGTTTTATTGTCACTTTGTAGTATAAATTGAAGTGAGGGAGTATAATACATCCAGCCTTATTCTTTTTTATCAGGATTGCTTTGGCTATTTGGGTTCTTTTGCAGTTCTATACAAATCTGATGATTTTTGTTCTATTTCTTTAGAAAATGACATTTGGATTTTGATGGGATTGCATTAAATCTGTATATTGCTTTGGGTAATACGGCCATTTTAACTATGTTGATGCTTCCAATCCATGAACACGGAATGTCTTTTCATTTCTTTGTGTCTTCTTCAATTTCTTTTAATAATGTCTTATAGTTTTCAGTGTATAGGTCCTTTACATCCTTTGTTAAGTTTATTCCTAGGTATTTTATTCTTTTTGTTGCAATTGCAAAAGGGTTGGTTTTTTTTATTTCTTTTTATGAAATTTCATTCTCAGCATACAGGGCCACAATGGATTTTTGTACATTGATTTTAATACACTCTTCTCTTGGTTAAATTATGATTGCTGTACACATTTTAGGCTCCTCCTGCAATGTGACTTTACATACACAAAGATGTTTCATTTTAGATGTTCAAATCCTATGCATTTTCTTTCATAATGTTTAATAGATATTATATCTTTTAAAATATTTCTAAATATAAATTCCTATCAAAGTCCATGTGACAATCTCATAAACTGTTTATTCTCTGGTTTCATTTTCACCCCTTTGGGCCATAGGGCACCATTAACTGCACACAAAGAAGTAATTGATTCAATCCACTCTAGTGGTTCAAAGAGCTTGAAAACCTGCCAAAAATAAACCATTCTTATTCCTTTGTCACTATTGGGAACATTTCTAATGATGATAATGGACTCTAAACAATCGTGGAGTGTACACCAAGTAATTTTCCCACCTATTTATCTCCAGCTAATTCCCGGCACCATTATTAGTGTACTTACAGGAATTAAAAGGGTATAAACAAGCAAGTGAGTTCTTGAACCTGTATTTGCCCCCATGTGACCACAAGTCTTCTCATCTCTCAGTTTGAATCCATCATACAAAGGTTTAGATCATCACTTAGTTCCATTCCTGTTCTATAATAATAGTCCTTGATCTACATCCAATTTCAATAGCAGACAAAGTTCTCACTTCCTTCCTTTCTCACACTGCCATTTTTCCAGGACGGCAACTATACTCCAGAGGCCTGTGTAATATTTGACTCCTCAACCCCTGATGTACAGTGAAAAATTGTCAAAATAAAAATTCTAATCTCTGTTGTTACTACATAAATCTCATTACTTCAGTTGTCTCCCTTATGACTAGAGTCTGACAGCAAAATTTCATGTCCTGTGATAATGAATGCTCAAATTGCTCTTACATAAGTGAAAACTAACAGCACATTTGCTTTAATATTTAACTGTAATAATGTTTTGAAGTTGAAAATTATATTTCCTAAAGTCAGAGGAGGTTTAGCTGGACATTTTAGCATCATTCATAAAAAGCACATTTCTCGTCATGAAGATAATTTATTATTATTACACGTCAGTTTTGTTAATTTATATGTGAGATTTTGTAAAACAGTTTAGTCCCAACTCAGTCACTTGCCTCTCTTCAAAGAATGCCTTACAATAATAGTATTAAGATTAATTGTCTGAAATCTGATATGCCCTGAGGTATTACAATAAATCTGTCTTCAAAATTCATAATGTGGTATGGAGTTATGTGGGGATGAAGGATATAATGAGGTTCTTCTATTTTTCTAGTATTAAGTCTATTGGACTGAGTCCAAGGTAGATATATACTGATATTGAAACTATAAAAAAGCCAAGTTGTATTGATGTAGGTAGTACAGGGTTACTTTAAACAGAAAGTTGTAGCCACTTTGAATTATGAGAAAAGGATTTTTAAGTATCCACTCCTGCTGAGGAACCAAATGAAGTCCCATGTTCACCCAAATTTGGGTTTAATTACCCAGCCAAAAATCCTTATGTTGAGAATTATAACAGCGTCCATTTTGTCACTGAGTATCTTTGTGTCAAGGATTTGGGCCAGATCTTCAATGACCCTTTACATTATGATCAGAATTAAGTATAAGCTTTTCTTGATCATTGTCACCTAGAATTGTGACTATCTTCCCCTCCCTCCTTTGTTTCAGATCCTCCTGTAAGAAGACAGCACAGTACAAAAGAGAAAGGACTTAATAATAGAGCTAATAGTGTACGTGTCAGTAGGTAGAGGGCAGCCCCACTCCTCAAATACCCATAAGCAAACTCTTCTACCACTCTTCAGAAGTCAATGTTGTCTTAGTTTACTATAGTTGGACTTTCTAAAAACAAGTAGTAGTTCCTGCCAGCTAAGTCTAAACACTGGAGCCAGAAGACTGAGATTTTAATCTTTGCCCTGTCACCTACAGGCTTTATAATCTTGGATAAATTACTTAATATGAGGGATAAAAACCAACCTGCCAGAGTTGTTGTGAGGATAACATGAGATAATGTGCAGAAGGTATTTGGCGCTAAAAGAATCATGCGCCTATGGGATTACTCAAGGAGATCAGCACCATCATTAGCTGAGCTTGGCAAGTCTACTAAGAGGGTTCAGTATCTTTCATCTTGGGAAAGTCCCAGTGCCATACATTTCCTCTGGCCTGAGCCCCCAGAATTCCCAGACCCAGAAAAGCTGACCACCTGAAACAGAATGTTGCTTTATAACACTGCTAGCTATATGACTGCTGTTTAACAGGATTGATGTGAAGGACCCCTTCCTGAACCCAGAAGTAACTGTCTAAATTTGAAATGTGAGCTTCAAAATGTTCTTTGTCGACGGAAAATAACTCAGCAGAGTGTTATTTCCCATCTTCTCTCTTATACTTCTCACTCAGAATTCTTCCTTAACTATAACTAAACAACATGGGCTTGTTTTATTTTTTTTTATTTTTAAAATTTCTAACTTTATAACATGCTCATATATCATGATCTACTTCTTTCCCTCATGGCTAGTTGGCTAATTTCACTCATTAATTTTTTTTCCTTTATAAGACTTTGTAAAAACTGGAATGAAGTTCTCTTATAAAAACAGATTGTATGCAGTTCAACTTCTCTGATCAATGTTTAACAAATCTACTGAACTATCTATTGTAGTAGCCCCTGAGAGGGCAAGCCACTGCAGGGTCATCAGCACAATGAACATGAATAATCAGTATTTTATTGTAACCCCATTGCAAAGATAAACAAAACAGAATAAAGAGATAGCCACTCTTCTCTCTTATAACAATAGGCAAAGACTGCTTATTTATAAAGGGAGTAAGTGAAATACAATGTTTTTGTTCAATAGTTACTGTTTTCTTCTTTCTTTTTTTTAACTTTTGCTTTAGAGTGTTCTCCTGTTTGCCAAACTTAAAAATGCTGGATGGGATCCTGAAGCTACCAGAAGATTCTTCACCACCAGAAACCAATATTTTTTCAAAAATATGTATTGTATCCTAATGCAATTTGAATAGAAAGAAAGCAATCACCATTGTCTCTTCAAAGCTAATAAGTATAGGAAATGCATGACTAAATATTGCTGTTTATTGTATGTATAATATATATTGCTTTCCTTTAAACCAGTGATCTCCACTTTTTAAATAATTCTATACCCATCAATAAATAAATTTTGAGTACATACATAAAATTATTAATTTTCATTTTTTATATACAATAATAGAAATTGTATACTTAAAATACTAGATAAATATATAATATATATTTTAAAACATTAAAAAGTAAAGATCTTTAAATGATGGGGTAAAAATTGAACATGAGTAAGAGTGCTAAGGCTTCCTCCACGCTCCACAGACTCATACGGTTCACCCACGGCGCTAACAGCCCTCTTCTTTGTGAGTACTGCTTTAAATATCTGAACCCATCAAAAGGAAAAGAGACAATCAGAAATTCCTTGTGTTACTTTAAGCCACATAGTTTGGATCCTTCATTTTAAACGTTCTTTCTTTAACTAGTGACTTTCACATAATATCGTAGAAATTTAGAAAGGCTCTAGGCTATATGCTAGTCATTAAATAGCTAGGAAATAAATAAAAAATGGTAAAGCTTCATTTTGTTTAGAGAATTTCATAAATGTGATTTTAAAACTACCTTCCCTATTGATGGGACTGCAGACTGGTGCAGCCACTATGGAAATTAGTATAGAGGTATCTCAAAAAACTGGAAATGGAACTACCTTATGACCCAGCAATTCCACTCTTAGGTATTTATCAAAAAAACCCCCGATATTAATCTGAAAAAATATATGCACCTCTATGTTCATTGTGGCGCTATTCACAATAGCTAAGACTTGGAAACAACTGAAATGCCCATCAGTAGATGACTGGATTAAGAAACGGTGGTACATTTATACAATGGAGTATTACTCAGCTATAAAGAAGAAGGAAATCGTACCATTTGCAACAATATGGACGGAACTAGAGAACATTATGCTAAGTGAAATAAGTCAGTCAGAGAAAGACAAATACCATATGATCTCACTTATATGTGGATTCTGAAAAACTGAATAAATGAGAAATGTAAACAGAAATAGTCTCAGAGACACAGAGGAAAAACTGAGTGTTGCTAGTTGGGAGGGGGTGGGAATGAAGGAGAAGGGGAAGGGACAAGACAATACAAATTGGGAACTACAATATGGCCTCAGGGATAGAAAAGACAGTTTGGAGAATATAATCAACAATGTTGTACATATTTTTTAGGAGCCCATGTCTTGTTAGGGAGACCACTTCATAGTCGGTGTAGAGGCCTAACCACCACACTGTATTGCTGAAGTTGATGTTGAATAATAATGTATGTCAACTATAATTGTATATACATATAGTCACGGGACATGGAGTAGAGAGTGGGAATGGAATCAATGGAATTGTAATAGATAAGCATGGTATCGGGGGTGGGAGGGCAGTAGATGGGGAAGGGGGGCTGTTTCTGTGCAAAGGGTGCAAAGGATAACTATTGTATTGTTCTGTACACCTGAAACTAACAATAAAAAAGTAAATAATAAAACACCAAATTTATGATAAAAAACTACCTTCCCTATATGTTAATGAGAAATTACACAATTCAATTTAATTGCTTTAAAAAATGAGAGAAACATTAACAATTAGATCAACTTATGACCTTGTATTTTTCTTTCTTTATGAAGATCAACTTGGTTGCAGAACTAAGGTTTTTCCAAAGTGGTTCATTGATTTCAGGGACCCTAACAAGAAACAAATAAAATATTTTCTGGACTACTCTGCCATGAGTGAATTCTGCTTCTAAAAATTTGCAGCAAAAATTCTAATAAGACCAAGATACAGTCTCTTTCCTCAGAAATCTTATGAATGACTGAAGAAGACCGCACACATAATTTAATTTTAAATTATGGGAAATCACTTTGAGGGCTTAACAGAAAGAATATTATTTGAGACGGATATTAAAAAATAGACTTCCACAGGTAGCAGGTAGCGGCAGACTGTGCCAGTCAGTAGGCACAAATGAAAAGGGACACCAAGACCAGAAGTTGTGTGTCAGTTAGAAATGGGCCCGGCTGCAAAAGCCAAATAAGTGAATAGGCAATGTTTTAAAAAGAGTAATATTAGTAATTATGATAGCTATATTATAGTAATATATGATAGCTATATATATAATTATGATAGTAAATAAAAATAGTAATATTAGTAATAATGATAGCTATAATTCCTGAGCATCTACTATGTATGAGGCACAGGATAGACATACATCCATTATTTAAATCCTCAGAAAACTATGAGATCCAATCATCCTTGTTTCATTGGCAGGGACAGGTGAGGCTCAGAGAGATTAAGTAAATTATTTAAGATCACACAGGTAGATCACATGTCTGCTACATGGCAAAAGCCAGACTGAAAACCTGAATACCTTTCAACACCCTTGCTGCATCTTTTAATACTATATTTCTAATTAAAAAATTCAAGATGGTGTTTTTTTGTGTTTCCAGGGATAACTTTATCTCCCAAAAGTCATAAAAAATTCTAGCATTTCATCATAATAAAGCACTCACCATTCCTGAGCATATCCTAAACTTTCCTTCAAATTTTTCCTTTGTTCTACAATACTTTTCCCTTGCAGTCACTCCTGAGAAAATATTTTCTCCTTTCAGTGCTCACTTCAAATATGACTTCCTTCAAAAATCTCCCCTCATCTTTTCAATCATGTTTCCTCTGCAGTTCCATAGTATTTTTTTATGACACATTTTCTTAATGATGCTGCCACTTGATTATTTTTTAAATTATACCTTGCCTGCTTCCCCCCCCAAAAGGTTTCAATCATGAAATAACTAAGAAAGTGGGATATATTTCATTTTAGAATTTTATGCATGTATCTTTTGCCTCTCTGAATCAGGATAGGAAAACATTTTCTGAAAAGGACCAAAGAGTAAATATTTTAGGTTTTATGGGCCATATGGTCTCTGTCATAATCATTCAACTCTGCCACTGTAATGCATAAAATCCACCACCGACCAATCGACCATGTGTAAATGAATGGGTGTCACTGTGTCCCAATAAAAGTTTGTGATAGCCTGTTGTTTGCTGACACCTGCTCTAAAATTTTAAGATGATGTGGTCAATTGCTTTACTCTTCACCCAATATCCATTGCACTCCCTGGAAGAGAAATATACTTCTCATATTCCTTGAAGTCAGCTGTGTCAAGCAACATGATTTGGCCAGTGAAATATAAGTGACTGTGATATAGGTCACTGGTAGGCAGAAATGTTGGGAACCAATTTGTGCTTTGTCACACTTTCTTCGTGTCTCACTAGCAGGCAAATTTCTAGATGGAGGCCTCTGCATTCACATTAAGTCCTGCAGTGACTGTGATATGGGTAGAGCCACACTCATCCTCCAGGGGATGTAGAACAAGGGAGAGTTAGACCTGTGTCACTGGCCTGTGAGGTTCCAGTTGATGGTATACCATAGGCTAGTCTTTCACAACTAATACAGCTACTTACGTTTAGGGACTGCAATTTAACTTATTTAATGATGTATTTTCCCCCAAAAATTTCACAGTTGGGACTCAAAATGTTGAATAAATAAATGCCTATAGATAGGAAACTATGTCTGGGGTACTAGAATCACTAGGTAGGATACTACAACAAAAGTTTAGGTGAAATGTATTAAAAACTTTAGGGCAACAGTGTTGGAAACAGACACACATTATTGGGTGTTATAACAGCCTACAAAGTTTTATTGTTTAAGCCAGGGGTCGGCAAACTTTTGCGATGGAAGAGCCAATCCTGTCCCTCACAACAATTGAAAAATTATTCGAGAGCCATACAACAAACGAAATCACAATTATGTGAATGATATCCTTTAAAAATGTTATGAATGAAACTATGATAGTTTTATTTTCATTTTCAATTTTACTTCAGAGCCACATGTACGTACCCAAAGAGCTGCATGTGGCTCGTGAGCCACAGTTTGCCGTCCCCTGGTTTAAGCTATCTTCAAATGAGTATATTTTGCTATTATTTCAAATAAAACTGCTCATTTGACCTGTGTAATATTTGCTTGTATCTTCTATAATACCCAGAGATCTGAATCACTCTCCCATGGTTTAAGCATAGTGTCAGATATACTGTATAGGGAAATATGCAAGGATTTTTATCAGCAATTAAGCTATATTTGTGAGAATTTTGTACATTGGCACCAAACAGAGCTAACTTCTAGCCATATTTTACTTAACTCGACAGACCACACAGAGCTCCCATTCTAAAATGTCTAGGTACATCCTATTCTTCTGAAATATTCAGTTCTTCAATAGACTGAGGTAATAGGCATAAAAGGAATGCCCTAAGGCAGCCTAGCATCTCGCATCTAATTATGTGTCTCAGTTTCATTCTTCCCCTGAATGGCACATGTGTTCTGCATTAAATGGCTCAATTCAGAACAGTGACAGGGATTGTATTTAGTAGATACCACAACTTTCTGACAGAGGACGTAGTGCAAATTCGAGTAACTCTGGTTAGAAAATCATTTCAGTAAGAGAAGTTCACTCATGCATGAAAAAACCTTACATGTTAACTAGTCCAACTCCTCATAAGCAAGCCCTCAATGAATGAACTTGTATCAACTCTACAACATCCAATGAAGGACTTTACAGTTTACATTTGAATATATCAAGGAACTATAAACATTCGAGACAATTGTTTTTGATCCATACTAATCTTTATTTAGTTCTTCTTTACACTGAACTGATATTTGCCTTCTGCAACTCCCAACTAATTGTTCAAATCTCTCAAATTGGTATAATTAATTCCATCATATAGGAAATTTTCCTCAGCTTCCAGGTTCTTGAAAGTGTCCTGACATTTTATGTTACCTTACAGTGGAAATGTAAATGGTTAAAATAGGATTCATGGGATGAGGAAGATGGAGAAAGGGTAGAGAAAAGCTAACTAGAAAGAGCCGAAGCAAGAAAAACCATTTTACTATTTTCAAGTCCTATATAATAAATCTAAAGGGAATGATCCCTAAAATGAATTTCCTTTACCAAATTTAAAAAATTAAGTTAGCAAG